TACATCTGTTGATCTCTCTTGTTCAAGATTAAAATGCCAACGGAATAACATTTCAGTTATTTGTTGTACATCGGGGCGATGCGTGGGATCAGAATCCCAACACCTTTCTACGAGTGTCGTAAAAGATTTTGGAGTTCTTTCAGTAAACGGTGGACGAATTCCATCACATATACCAACGGCAAGATTATAATCGTGAGCCCTATTACTAAATGGAGGAATTCCCGTGGCAACTTCACACATCACTATTGCTAAACTGTATACATCAGATGCCTTAGTATATGGTTCACCGTGTAAAATTTCGGGCGCAACATATGGTAAGACGCCGTAAACACCACTATTGCCATTTACATTTCGATTTAATCCAAGGTCGCTAATTTTAACGCAGTCACCAACTTGTAGTATGTTACCACAATGTAAATTTCGATGAACAGATTCCGTTGAGTGAATATCTTGAAGTGCCATTGCAATTTTAAGTAAAATGCATAAACGTTTTTCCCAATTTAGCAAATGATAATTATGTCGAAGATAAGTTTGTAAATTTCCATTGTTTGCAAATTCGCTGACGATCATATAATCATTTGTTTGAGGATCTCGGGTGATACCATAATATTGAATCATTCCTCGAGGATCGAAACCGCATTGAAGGTAAGCACGAATCTATAAGAAGAGATTAATTAAATACAGTATTAAAATGTAATTTATGAGTGTATATATATATGCATACCTCGTGAAAGAATTCCGATGTAATATTAGCAGAATTGTCGATGCTTTTTACAGTTACAGTCATACTGGAATTCCTAGCCCACTTTTTCTTTTTTTTATCCCAATATAAAATGTTACCGCGTACCCAAGTGGCGGCAAATACAGTTCCGTAACAGCCTCTTCCAACATACTCAACATCGATAATCGCATCATATGGAATCCATTCCAAAACTTTACGGTAACTATTAGCATTTAATTGAGTTTCTTGGATGAAATTATCAACAGCTTCATTACAACTTGACCATTTGGTAAATTCATTTTTTAATCTTGTAGAATTACATAACTGACACCATCCAAAATTTTTATAAATATCAGTATTTGGATTTTGACAATCACCACAGATACCAAAGTTTGTTGGCTGCAATTTCGTTAATTTACTGTCATCAAAATGTTCTGCTTTACTACTACTACATTTCACACCCATCATCAAACAGAAGATATAATCAATGATTATTCTATCAAAAAATTAAAATTTTTTCTATGTATTTATATATTTTTTTAATTTATTCTAAGTTTTCACAACTTTAAAAAAAATAACGGTCAGAAAAATTAAAATAATTAAAAATCAAATTAAATATATGTAGAAAAAAACGGTAAGGTGCATTTCAGAATTGGGTTAGTAAGTTCTAGCTACGATATAAACTAATTTAGTAAAGGTGCTAACCAATAGGAGATACATGAAAATAAAAAAGTTTTTTAAAAGTGATGAAAACTACGTAATGATAATATTATTAGTCTTATCTGACTAAAAATATATTGCATGCAAATGCGCAACTTGAATTTTGCCATTTTTGTGAAGACCCTTCGAAAATATTATGCAAAGTTAACGCTAATGGCAATATCG